CTTCATGATGTTTGTATATATATATATATATATATATATATATATATATATATATATATATATATATATATATATATATGTGTGTGTGTGTGTGTGTGTGTGTGTGTGTGTGTGTGTGTGTGTGTGTACTAAATTAAAACTGTCAGAAATACAATTATTGAGGAAAATCACAGCATGTTCGGCGTTAGTTTGTGTTTAACTTTTCGATTTTTCTAGTGGTTGATAATAAATCATTCTCAAGTTTCTTGAACTCAAAACCAAAATTTTGTTGTGTATTTTATTCATGATAGAACAAAAAAGCTTTTTTTGGTATTTCTATACCATCAATTCGAACACCAAAAATGGTATAGGAATACCGAAAAAAAGCTTTTCTGTTCTATCATGCATAAAATAAACATAAATGTTGGTTTTGAACTCAAGAAACTTGAGAAAGAATGATTTACGATCAACCGTTAGAAAAATCGAAAAGTTAAACAGAAAGTTAACTAACCCTGAAAAAAATGTGATTTTCGTCAATAATTGAATATATTTAAATATAAAATAATATAAAATCAAGTATTGTATTTATATAGCGCCAATTATAATTGCTTCTCATCAGCGCTCTCCTCGTATAGAGCATGTTGTAAGCGAAGCCATCATCTGTGGAGCTCATTAGGAGTTACCAAATAAGTATGTCTTTAGACGTTTTCTAAACCCAGCTAATAATAACCCAGATATACGTAATTCGATAGGTAGGCTGTTCCAAAAAGTATGTCTTGCAACTGCAATAAATCTATCTGCTGTTTTCAGGTTACGATCTCTAACATACAGCGCGTTTGAATCAGCAGACATTAGACGCCCATGGGATGACATAAATGAAACTCTAATACATTTATCTTCTAAATATTTCGGAGCCAGATCATTCAAACTTTTAAATACCATTACACCCAACTTGAACATGATTCTTTGTTAAACACGCAGCCAGCAAAGCAGCAGCCTTAGAATTGGTGGTGCATGATCAAATTTTAATTTGCGGTATATCATTCTAGCAGCCTGATTCTGAACCATCTGAAATTAAGACAACAATCTGTCTGAAGACTGATACAATAATCCAATCTAGAGTTGACGAAAGCATGTATTTATAAAGTCATTGTATTGTTATAACCGTGCTACCGAACGCACTAGATTCTAGCGTATTCTAGAATGTTCTAGTGACTGGAGCATTCTAGAGTATGCTAGAATCGGACCATCTAGAAGAATCTAGAATTGACGCTTGCGAAGAGTATATAAGGCATAAGCGCACGTCGCAAGAAGATTAGCGATTAGTGAAATCCGTGATTAGTGAAATCCGTGATTTTGTAAATTCGTGACTCTGTGATTTTGTGAATAGCGATTCGGTGAATTATTTAAAGCGATATTTGATTTGTTTGTTGACGTTGTCCTAGCGATAGATTTTGAACAATTTAAAAGTTAATTGTTGCGTTAATTTGAATTTGCTAGAAATAAACGATTAGTTGATTTCTTCTGTAAATAAAGTTTAATAACTAATAACTGTTTGGAGTATTTTATTCAATCGAAGATTTGAACCCGTCGCATCGTAAATCGGTTACGACAGCGAGTATTATAACAGCATCTTTATCTACCGATTTTGTGACTTGACGTAACTGACATACGTACATTTTTTAACCAATAAACTGACTTGTGGACCATATATATATTATATATATATAACTATATATATATATATTTATATATATATATATATATTTATTTGTTTATTTATCTATATTTATTTCTTATATTTTTAAAACTCCCTAACAGATAATTGCGCATTACACTTCTGTTTGATTGGTTGCCAAATTTATGAATGAATGTTAATGTCATATTTATATAATAAATAACGGCATCAATTATTTTACTATTAGATTCAATTTTACAATACCCCTTTTAATATACGGCCAGCGCCGGCCTTAGTTTTTTGACTAGTCAGGCAAAACTTTTAGACTCGCCCCTTGGTATTATTGATGCTACCAATGGAAGGTAGTTAGCTTAACATTAACGAACGAGTACAAACGAGGCCAATATGCAAAAATTTTAGATATATGCTAAAGAGATAGTTGAAGTACGGAATCGTTTTCAGTTAATGTCGGAAGACGTAAATAAATCTAAATGTGATATATTTAGAGATGCCCTCACAGAATCAGCAAGAGAAGTTATACCCGTGGAAAAACAAAGAAGAGGTCATAAACGGATAACCGATGACATCGTATTTTTGATGGATAAACAAAGGAAATTAAAAGGTTGCAATCCTGATAGTTAAAAAAAGCTGGACAAAACAATCAAAAAATGTGTTTTGGAGGCAGAGGGGAAATGGTTAAATGACAAGTGCGAAATCATTGAAAAGATCAAATCTTCACAAGCACCTTGCCACTCAAAACTGAAGGAAAAAAGAAAATGAACTTTTGCCAATGAAAATAAATATCGTAAACATCAAAGATATATAATATGATTAGACGATATAAAAAAGTTTGTTAATTAAAACGCAAACAAATTAATATCATATAAATGATCAAACAAATATTTAATATTACTATGGTTATTATTGTTGTTACTTTCGTTATAATTATTATAACTTCAAAGATCTCTATATAGCTTCCAACGATTGTCAAGTGTTTGTTATTCCGAAGGTTCCCGATTTCCGTTAGATGAAAACAACTGCTTCAAACTCAAACTTTGTTAAACGTTTATTTGAATGCCAACAATAATAGAAAACTTAAACTAATCCAAGTAATTACATAAGTCACATTTACAACTTCGCTTCAAACCTCGCTGAAATCCTGACAGAGAACCTGTCTTCGCAGGGTCTTATATAGACTTCTTTTTACGATCCTTTACAATCCAAAGATTACAAAAATAACAATAATTAAGATAACAAATAATATAGCGCAATTTGATTATTTTAGGGGTTATAACATTGCCGCCACTTTACCCTGTTTTCATTTCGATAAGTAGGATATAAACTATTTAAATGGACAACATTCATTTTTGTTCATTTTCTTCCACGATCTTGGGTCTTGTAGGTCACGTCAATTATTTGGTTAATGACCCTGTATGAACCTTTTCAATTTTTTTGGAGTTTTGGACAACGCTGTGAATTGTACGGCTACATGAAGTCATTTTTGTTAAACCATGAGCTGCCTCTTTTGAGGTCATATCGAGTTTTGGTCTTTTCCGTGCCTTCTCTCGTTCTGATTCACACGTTCCGGTAGAATCTGTAACATAACATAACATAATATAACATAACATAACACAACACAACATTACATAATATAGCATGG